AAGAGAACTTGAAGTACTTACTGATGAGGTTCAAAGATTAGTCTTCAGTATGGATTGACCTCAATGTAAAATCCTCACCACTGGAGCAATAAATAACATCATGATAAATGGAGAAAAGATTGAAATTGTCAAAGACTTCATTTTTCTTGCTTCATTAATCAACACTCATGGAAACAACAGTCAAGAAGTCAAGTGATGCATTGCATGTGGCACATATGCTGAAAGACCTCTTTAAAGTATTAAAGAGCAAAAATGCCATTTTGAGGATTAAGGTGTGCCTGGTCCGAGTCAAAGTATTTTCACTCACTTCATATGCATGCAAAATCTGGACACGGAATAAGGAAAACTGTAGAAGAATCTATGCATTTGAATTATGTTATTGGGAAAATATATTGAAAATACCATGGACTTCCAAAAGAGTGAACAAATCTGGTTTTTTGGAAGAAAGATTTCTCCTTGGAAGGGACAATGGTGAGAATTTGTCACTCAAACCATGGACATATTGTCATCGAGAACATGTCCCTGGAGAAAGGCTATCATGCTTGGTAAAGTGGAGGGTCGTCATAAAAAAGGAAGACCCTCAGTAAAATGGATGAATCTAGTAGCACACAAATGGGTTCAAGAGCGATAACAATTGTGAAGATGACATGGGACCAAGCAGTGTTTTGTTCTGTGATATCCAGAGGGTCACTATGAGTCAGAATTGAATGGACGACATCTAACAACAATTTATAAAATACTCATTGTCTGATATGTGGAGTTTCTTACTTGTTTTATTTCGAAGCAAATACGTTCTTAAATAGATCAGGCTCATTTGAGGATTTGTTGACTAGGATCATTTGAGAAAATCTGTGTGCCCAAATGTATCCATAGAATTTTATGAACTTTGATTCAGCGAAAAATGGAGGCACGTGGCTTTAGAAGCTACAGGAAACAGTTTTCTTACCAGGGAGACTTGATGGATTAGGTGAGGACCATTGAGGTTTAGATCTTGATATAAAGCATAAGTTTGAGAAAAGAACAAGGAGACCAACATTATGAAACTAGTGAAGATATTGAAAATGTGTCCCTCTTTTTGCAATTTTGCCTGTTCCTATTTGCACATTCTTAAGTGTGAAAAGGATTTTATGATAAAGGTCACATTATTGTAGGGTCTTCTTCTTTTTCACCAACCTGCCATTTTACTAAGCATGATGTCCTTCTCCAGGGACTGGTCCCTCCTGACAATATGTCCAAAGTCTGATAAACAAAGTGTCACAATTCTCACCTCCAAGAAGTATTCTCACTGCACTTTTTTTGCAAGATAGATTAGTTTGCTCTTCTGGCAGTCTCCAGTACTTCATTATTCTTCTCTAAAACCATAACCCAAATGCATCAATTCTTGTAATTTCTTCCTTATTCATTGTCAAACTTTCACATGTATATAAGGCTATTGGAAATGCCATGACTTCACATGTATATAAGCCTATTGAAAAACCTTAGTCCTCAGACTGACATCTTTGCTCTTGAACACTTTGTCCTTTGATTTTGTTTTACTTTCTTTCATGAATGAATGTTGATTGTAAATTGAAATAAAATGAAGTTTTTAATAACTTCAATCTTTTCTCCATTAATCATGAAGTTATTTATTGGTCCAGTGGTAAGGATTGTTAATGTCTTTACATTGAGGTGCAACCCATACTAAAGGCTGTGGTCTTTAATCTTCATTAGTAAGTCCTCTTCGCTTCCAGCAAGCAAAGTTGTATCATCTGCATATCACACTTTGTTAATAAGTCTTCTTCAAATCCTGATGCACATTTTTCTTCATATCAAATCCAGCTACTCAGATTATTTGCACAGCATATGAATTGAATAAATTTGGTGAAAGAATACAGCTGGGGTGCATACCTTTCCTAATTTTAAACCCTTCATTATCTCCTTGTTCTGTTCTAATGACTGCTTTTTGGTCTATGTACAGGTTCTTCATAAACACAATTTTGTGTTCTGGAGTACCCATTCTTTTCAATGTTACCCATAAATTGTCATGGTCCACACAATCAAAAGCCTTTGCATCATCAGTAAAGCACAAGTAAAAATCTTTCTGGTATTCTCTGCTTTCAGCCAAGAACAGTCAGTGTTTGCTTATTCTACTTTTTATAGGTTTCTTTAATGAATTTGAATCCTGAAGTCATAGAGCATATACAAATGGCATAGTAGAATTGTCACAGGAAGAGAATATTAAAAGGTTTACAGAAGGATCAGAAATTACTTTTAGATTTTGAAGTCCTGTTATATGAAGGAGAAAGGAGGAAAAAAATACCCACTATAAGGACTTTGAGGAATTCTTCAAGACTCCCACTGCATAGCTATTTAGACAGGAAAGTTCACTAAGTCTTGTATTGCAAGAGAGATGAATTATAATCTTACAATAACTGAAACTTACTTCTTTTCAAAATCTCCCACTGCAAGATTGTACAGAAGATTTATCTTCAAGAACTAGTACTGGGTTTGATGAACTAGTCTGGATAAAATGAATTCTAGTATACAGAAGTTCTTTGTTGATAAATAATCATTGAATTCCAAATATCAAAGGGTTTACAAAAGATCTCAGCTTCCAGAAATTTTCAGATAACAAAGAAGAAGAAAGAAATTTTTTGAATTATCTTCTCCCTGTGACACCTACCTGAAAGATCCTTGGAAAACTTTCAGGGAAGGATCCCCTGAAACTCAGGTTTGTGAATTCCTTTTTCAGGAGTGGTTGTAGAGACAGTCTAAATAACACTGGCCTGGGGTCATCATGATAGAAATGGAGTACAGGTGTGGTACTGAAGGTTAATGCACTGGATTGCAAGGTCAGTTTGAACTGCAAAGTTGGCAGTTCAAACTCAGAAACCACTCCTAGGAAACCCTATGCAGGGTTTCTATGAGTTGAAACTGACTCAAAGGCACTTAAAAACAAGAAGGGGTACTTAAGTCCTTTTTTCCAGTACATATAATAAGTAATATTTTTATGTCAAGTAACTGACTTAAAACTCAACTTTCACAGCACAACTGGTTCGAAGTTGAGGACTATATGCATTTAGCATGATTATTGAATCATTTCACATAAGCTTACATTATTCCATTCCACCTTTTGTTACTTGATAAATTTTCCTTCATAAAAATTAGTGTATAGAATATATTGGCTATAAAAACTTTTAATGAAAAAATACATATTAGAAGTTACATGGGTAGTAAAAGTTACACTAAAAGTTGTGGAACATTTATGGAGTGTTTATATCAAAATTTTAGGAGTGTTTGGGTGGTGCAAATAGTTAATGTGCTCAACTGTTCAAGGTGTGTGCCTACTCAGAAGCACCTCAGAAGAGAGTCCTGGAAATCTAATTTAGAAGATTCAGCCACTGAAAATCCTATGGAGTACCATACACTTCTACTCTGACATACAGAATCAACTTAGTGGCAACTTTTTTTTTTTTTTTTTTTTTTTTTAATTGTTGAATTTTTAAGTAGCTTTTACTTTTGTAACTGAATACATTGGCTATGGTAAAATTTTATTACTGTGAGGAACACGGTGGATCCATACAATAAGCACTGGACTGTGAGCCACAAAGTTGGTGGTTCAAGCCCACCAGCTGCTCTGTGGGAGAAATATGAGGGTTTCTGCTTCCACAAAGAATTACAGCCTCAGAAACCATATATACAGAGTCGCTATGAGTTGGAACTGACTTAACAGCACTTGACAACAAGTCTCCATACAGGTAAACTCATCTTGATTTTCCATGTACTGCACTGAACAACATGCAATTTTTTCCAAAAGCAGAAAGATATCTTTGGTATCAAACTACTTATATACACTGGATTTTGTTAAAGACTTCATTTGAGTGGGAAATTATTTCAGTAACTACAGATATCAGCTAATGTGTTTGACTAGATTCATCAGTTATTTCACCATAGAAGCCATTGCTGTTGTAATATCTTTGATATTATATTTCCGTACCTGAACTCATCCATTTCTAAGTTTTCATGTATAACTACCATTTTTGTTGTATACCATGGAGTGGATTCTGACCCATAGTGACCCTGTAGGAACTGCCCACAGGATTTAGAAGGCTAGTGTGGTGCTAGTGTGGGTTAATGAGCTGGACTGCAATGCCAGTTTGAACCACAAAGTTGGTGGTTCAAGCTTATCAACCACTCCTTGGAAACCCTATACAGGGTCGCTATGGGTCAGGTAGAGGCTGACTACCATATCTTTATGCCATGGAGCAACTGTTGCATTCAAAGCACTAACCTTTCAGTTCACAACCAAGTACTTAACCACTGCACCACCAGAGCTCGTTAAGATGTACAAGTATTTAACCAAAAAAACAAGCCAATGACTATTGAGTTGACTCTGATGCATTGGGACTCTGTAGGACAGTAGAACTGCCACATGGGGTTTCCAAAGCTGTTGGCTGTTTGGAGTGAGCCTACCAACCTCTCTCCACATGAAAATAAATGAGGTTTTCTGCTCCCACAAATACTTACAGCCATGGAAACACTGTACAGGGTAGCTATGAGTCGGAATTGATTCAATGGCATTTAACAGCAACAACAGAACAAGGCACTATTACCTATAAAAATCATGAGCACTATCAGAAAACACTGGTTCTTCAATTCCAGCTTTGATATCAAATGGCTGCACAACCTCACTCTAGGTCTCTGTCATCATATGCAAATGAAAGGGCGGAATCCTGCCTGCAGCTCCTATAAGATTATAGTTCAGTTGGCATATTTACATATTACATGTAACAATGCAATCTAATGGGTGATGGTCTTATTATCCTTGCATATGTGATTCTATTTCAAATTATTCCTCAGTATTTTCTGTTTAATTCTGGCAAAGGTGAGTTAATTGCCTAAATATAATACTAAAAAAGAAAAAGATGTGAAGTGTGTATGTGACGTAATGTTGATTCATTTCTGGGTATTTTTTTCAACCTTTCTCTATCTCTCTTTTTATTTATTCATGGTTCCATTAGTCTGATTCCAGAGAAGTTGATGCATGATTGGAAGGAACTTTTTTTCTGTGGAAAACCTATTTATGAACAAGCCAGAACTAAGCATCTCCCAGCCGATGCCTCTGAAAAACAAGTGATAGAACTGGGAAAAAGAGACTTGCTAGATGGCAAGGATTATGACGACTATAAGGTACAAACTGATGAGAAATAACTTGAGTGCCACAAAATAAATGTGTTTTTTCTTTAAAATTTTGTGATATTTTGTTCCCATTCGTAACAATGGATTCATGCTTCCATTTTCACTTAGTTAATTTTTTTTCTACCATACTAATTTTTAAATGCCTAGATTATTTGATATCTGCTATCTTTTATGATCTGAATACATCAAGCGTATCACGTGGTCTAAGTAGATAAGTTTCAGAGTTTTAAAAATGCTTTACGTTACTCATTTGCATTATTTTTCTCTGTGCACAATGTCTGCCTTTGCCACAAAAACCATTGTTAGAAGGCATTTCTTTAGTAAATCATGTAAATGGGGTATTGTTTTTTTAGGCAAAATGGAAGAAGAGGATGACTAGGTTTTATGTGTAGTATAAATTAAGACAATATCCAAAGATTCAAAAAATGTATTGGTTGCCAATTCTTCTACTTAGAGCAGCTGTTCACAGTATTTAATTCAACAGACTGGGATTCCAATGCTGGCATTTAATCACTTACTAGTTATGTGACCTTAGGTGATCAATCCCTTCAATGCTAAGGGACTCAGTTTCCCAATTTATGAGCTGGGGATAATGTACCAATCCCATTTTGTTGTTGTGAAACATAAGATAATTTGTGTTAAACAAAAGCCAAGTGCATTGTATGTTGTACACAAGTAATAAATGTACTTATATTGTCTCCTCACCATCTCCCTCTCCCTAGTCCATTCTATCCCATCATGGTAAAAATAATAGTCATTAATGTTCTGAATCAATCATCAGAATGGAATATAAAATGAGACTTGTATTATTAGAGATAGTTATTGAATGAATTCCACAAGAGTAGTAACTGCAACATGAAAAAACAGAGAAGGAAAGATGTTTTGGCCCCATCGGTTGTTTTTTTTTATATTTAGGGAATAATCAATGCTTATTTAGAGTATGCATGAGTAAAATGAATTTTACACAGAAAAGAGGCAAGTGTGAAAGAGCACTAATTGTGTAACTATTAAAAGAAGATAAGTTGATGATAAGAAGATAAGGACAGAATATAAGAAGTGAAAGGTACAACATATTTTAGTTGAATAAATCTGAATTTGCATCACCAAAATAATTGATACTTAGGTATCCTGGTGTGGCACTTCAGGATAATGCACTGTACCACAAGGTCGGTGTGAACCACAAGTCCAGTTTAAATCACAAGGTCAGTTTGAACTGCAAGGTCAGCGGGTCAAACTCACCAGCCTCTCCATGGAAACCCTATGTAGTTATTTGTTGTTAGATGCCATCAAGTTGATACCAGCTCATAGCGACCTTATGCACAACAAAATGAAACATTGCCCAGTCATGAGCCAATCTCACAGTCATTGATTGCTATGCTTGAGCCCATTGCTGCTGCCACTATGGCAGTCATTCTTGTTGGAGGTCTTCCTCTTTTTCTCCAATCTTCCACTTTTACCAAACATGATATCTTTCTCTAGCGACTGGTACCTCCTGATAATGTGTCCAAAGTCTAGCCAGCCATCCTGGATTCCAACAAGCACTCTGGGTGTACTTCTTCCAACACAGAACTGTTAGTTCTTTTGGCAGTCCGTGGTACTTTTAATATTCTCCTCCATCACCATAGTTCAAAGGCATCAATTCATCTATGGTCCTCCTTATTCACTGTGCCACTTTCACTTGCATATGAGGTTATTGAAAAGATCATGGATTGGGTCAGGTGCACCTTTGTTCTCAAACTGACATCTTTGCTCTTTAAAGAGGTCTTATACAGCAGATTTCCCCAATGAAATGTTTCGTTTCATTTCTTGACTGCTACTTCCATGAGTGTTGATGGTTGATCCGACCAAAATGAAGTCTTTGTCAACTTCATTCTTTTCTCTGTTTATATGGATGCTGTTTATTGTTCCACTGGTAAAGATTTTTGTTTTCTTTACATTGAGGTGCAACCCTTAATGAAGTCTGTGGTCTTTGATCATCATCAGTAAATATTTTAAGTCCTCTTTGCTTTCAGCAAGAAAGGCTGTATCATCTGCATATCACAGCTTGTTAATGAGTCTTCCTCCAATCCTGATGTCATGTTTTTCTTTATATAATCCAGCTTCTTCGTTTATTTGTTCAGAACACAGATTGAATAAGTATGGTGAAAGAATACAACCCTGGTGAACACCTTTCCTAATATTAAACCATTTGGTATTCCCTTGTTCTGTTCAAACAACTGAATCTTGGTCTGTGTACAGGTTCCTCATGAGCAGAATTAAATGTTTTGGAATACTCATACTTTGCAATGTTATCCATAGCTTGTCATGATCCACACATCAAAAGCCTTTGCATACACTAAAGCACAGATAAACATCTTTCTGATATTATCTGCTTTCAGCCAAGCTCCATCTGACATCAGTAATGATATCCCTCATTCCACATCCTCTTCTGAATACGACATGAACCTCTGGAAGATCTATTGCATTTAATGTTTTCAGCAATTTTTGCATTATCTTTAGTAAAACTTTACTTGCATGAGATATCAATGATATCATCGGATAATCTCTGCTTTCCATGGGTCACTGTTGAATAGTCACAAATACAGATTTATTCCAGTCAGCTAGCTAAGTAGTTGTCTTCCAAATTTCTTGGTCTATATGCCACATCAGTTTGTTGAAAGATTTCAATTTATATTCCATCAATTCCCAGTGCCTTGTTCTTTATCAATGCCTTCAATGCATCTTGGATATTCTTCCTTCAGGATCATTGGCTCTTGATCATATGCTCCCTCTTGAAATGGTTGAACATCACCATTCCCTTTTGGTACCGTGATTCTGTGTATTCCATCTTTTTTTTTTTTTTTTTTTAACTGTTTCTGCATCATTTAGTATTTTGCCCATAGAATCCTTCAATACTGCAAGAGGATTGAATTTTTTCTTCAGTTCCCTCAGCTTTTGAAATGATGAACATGTTCTTCCCTTTGGGTTTTCTAAGTCTAGGTCTTTGCATATTTTGTTATAATACTTAACTTTGTCTTCTTGAGCTGATATTTAATTTTTTTCTGTTTGGCTCTGTACCTCCTCACTTATTCCATTTGCTGTAGCATCTGTATGCTTGATAGCAAGTTTCAGAGTCACTTCTGCCATCCATTTTGGTCTTTTCCTTCTTTGTTGTGTTCTCAATGGCCTTTCAATTTTTTCCTGTACGATATTCTTGATGTCATCCCACAACTCGTCTGGTCTTCGGTCTTTAGTGTCTAATACATCGCATCTGTTCTTCAGATGATTTCTAAATTTAGGTGGGATATAATCAAGATCATCTTTCAGCTCTCAGGAACTTAACTTTAATTTTCTTCAGCTTCAGTCTGAATTTGCATACGAGCAATTGATGGTTTGTTCCACAATCTACCCTTGGCCTGGGAACTTTTAAACCATCTCTTTCCACAGATGTAGTCAATTTGATTTCTGTGTATTCCATGTGTATAATCTTCTTTTATGTTATTTTAAAAAGGTATTTGCAGTGAAGAAGTCATTGGTCTTGCAAAATTCTATCATGCGATCTCCAGAATATTTTCTATCACCAAGGCCATATTTTCCAACTACTAATCCTTCCTCTTTGTTTACAGCCTTTACATTCCAGTCACCAGTAATAATCAATACATCTTGATTGCATGTTTGATCAATTTCAGACTCAAGAAGTTGGTAGAATTCCTCAGTTTCATCTTTACTGTCTTTAGTGGTTGGTGCATAAATTTGAATAATGGTGATATTAACTGTTCTTCCTTGTAGACATATGGATATATCCTATCACAGAGAACTTTGTGCTTCATGAATGATCTTGATATGTTCTTTTTAATAATGAATGTAAAGCCATTCATCCTCAATTTGTCATTCCCGGCATAGTAAACCATGTGGTTGTCAGATTCAACCTGGCCAATACTAGTCCATTTCAGCTCCCTAATGCCTAGGATATCAATGCTTATGTGTTCCATATCATTTTAGAAAATTTCCAATTTGCCTAGATTCATACTTTTTACATTCCATATTCTGATTATTAATGTATTTTTACAGCTGTTCTCTTCATTTTGAGTTGTTCCCCAACAGCAGATGAAGGTCCCGAGGACTTTACTCCATTCATGTTATCAAGGTCAACTCTACTTTGAGGAGGCAGCTCTTCCCCAGTCATATTTTGAGTGCCTTCCAACCTAAGTGGCTCATCTTCCAGCCCTATGTCTGACAATATTCTGGTGCTCTTCACCATGTTTCAATATTCAGTAATCTGGTGCTGACAGTGTTCCACTGCTATTTGTATGGTTTTCAGTGAGTAAATATTCAGAAGCAGTCCATCTCTCTTTCTTCCTAGTCTGTCTTCATCAGGAAGCTCAGCTGAAACCTGTCCACCATGGGTGACCCTGCTTATATTTAAAATGCTTGTGACATAGCTTCCAGAATCACAGCAACACACAAGCCACCACAGTATGACAAACTGACAAGTAGAGACAATTCTATACTGGGTCACAGTGTGTAGGAAGTGACTCGACAGCACTTACCAACAACAATAACAACAAAGAGTAACCTCTCTCAGTAGAAAGAGTCATGGTGTGGTGCTGTAGGATAAAGCACTGGATTGCAGGGTCAGGTTGAACTGCAAAGTTAGCAGTTGAAAATCACCTGCTGCTCCTTGGAAACCCTATATATAGAGTCACTGTGAGTTGGAACCGACTTGACAGTGCTTAGCAACAACTGCCTATAGTTTGATGGACAAACTAAGCCTTGAAGTTGATGCATCAATTACCTGATTGTGCTGCAGCTAAGTGTTCTGCTGCCAACCAAAAGTTTGGTGGTTTTAGCCCACCGGAGAAAGATGAAGCTGTTTGTTGTAATGTTGCTATGATTCAGAATCAATTTGAAGGCAATGAGTTTGGGGAGATTGACTTTAAGGAATTTACATGCATATTCGATCGGATTATAAATCTAGTCTGTTTATCTGTAGTACAATGCCTTATACAGAA